GACCATATCCTGCAAACACTTTGCCAGTATTGCCTACATCAGGAGGGTAACAAAAAAAAAGGAACCGAGGAGACACCACAGTTAGAGCATTTCCGTTTTATGGCTGTTCTAGTTTCTCATCTGTGGCTAGAAGCTACAGATAATTTCAGATAAACCCAGCTATCCAGGTCCTGAAGAAATAAGATGTTGTTAAATGGAGCAGACTGGTTTCTCTTCCAATTTGGCACAAACTCCTGAAATAAGTCCACATGGAATCAAGCGGGCAGTTAAAATGCATTAATTATGACACTTGAGTCCTTTGATTGAGGATTATGTGCCATCAAGTTGGTGTTGACTCTTAGTGACCACCCTGATAGGTTTTCTCCATGCTGATCTGTCCCCAGCCTGGCCCTTCAGGTCTCCCAGTGGTGCACCCATCACCGCTGCTCATGGTCCATCCACCTTGCGGCTGGTTGTCCTGTTCTTCTCTTTCTTTCTAATCTTATTCCTTAAAACACGCAATAAACACATTTATTGGTAGTTAGCCCTCATTCAGTATGTTGTATACAAGCGGAGGATTCACGCTGGTATCAGACATCAAGATCCTTGACTTGCTTCTCTTTCTGCTCACAGCCCAGAAGGAGACACGGCTGCCCTCTGCTCTCCGCAGCAGTCGTGGCATCGGTTCCCCAACTGTAATGCCAAAGATGGCATTCGGTGGGATTTTGTCCACCCCCATATTGTATTTAGTACTGTAATGTAGTTTAAGGGGAGAAAGTAGGACGGGAGAAATACTGAACTTTCTATCACCTCCACAATCTGCTTCTTCAGATGCCCCAATTTTAGTTTGGATATAAATGCGGGAGGAAGAAGTGCTAATGAGGATGTGTCAGGTGTGGGTCAAATTCAGAAAGCCCACATCTTTTTTTTAATTTATCCCAAATAATTTTAATTATTATTTTTATAAATAATTCCAGGTGGTGAACATACCCAATACTCCTTCTTCCTCCTATTTTCCCCACAACAACAACCCTGTGAGGTGAGGCTGAGAGAGAGGGACTGGCCCAAAGTCACCCAGCTGGCTTTCATGCCCAAGACAGGACTAGAACTCCCCGTCTCCTGCTTTCTAGCTTGGAGCCTTCACCACTAGACCAAACCAGCTCTTGCTGACTCTATGAATTCACATGTCCACTTAACCAGGAAGGAAGCAACAGGACTGTGACTGCTAATACGGTACTCAAGGTGCATTGCTGGAGCTAGAAAGCCAAGTGGGTTGTTATTATCAAAGGTGGCAAGGAGGGCTAAGAGAGCAGACAGGAAAGGAGAAAGAAAAAGCACATTTAAATGTGGGGGCAGGGACCCTTTTCAGGTAGAGCAAGGGGAGAGAAAAAAACTTGTATTATTCCATATAATTCTGTTTTTAAAAGTGAATTTCTGAGGCCACTGCAACAGCTATCTCTTGACCTCACCAAGCAGTCTTTCAGGGCTGATTTCCTCCCCTCCTTAAAGGAACAGCATCAAGGAAGATTATTTATTTTTCTGGCCAGTTTTTAAGCCTTGTTCAGTGCGTGGGTGAAATTCAATGCCTTTCCCACTTCGAAACCACAAAAGTAAGGGAGAGGATTCCAGACATTTTTAAGGATGGGTGACTCTTTGGGGCAAGAATGCAAGCTTTCCCATAAAGATCTTTGGTGGGTGAAGCTGCAGATGGACAGGGAAGAAGCAAGGGTATAAAGGGCCAGGAGCATCTGCAGAAAGGGTCAAAAAAGTCAAGATGGCAGTCATGACTGTGCAATTAAAGACCACCCCTTTTTTGTGTGTGCATGCCAAGCACATTAAAGGGAGTATAGTTGTGGCCATCTTGACTTTTTCAATCTCCCCCAACCCATACTCCTAAAAGAAATGGAAAGTATTAGTACAGCATTGCTCTAGACTAGTTTCCTTTTCTTAGCTCCAGATCTTCTCCTTTTATTTTTTTCCTTTTCTGCCCTCTGCATAACTTTGCTCGCCCCAAAAGGTAATCGTAAGATGGATGAGTGCAAGCTCACTCAATTTCTTGTGAGTTTTTGCAACACCCACGACCACTTTTAAAAATGTGCCCTGAACAACACAATACTTCCTTACTTGCAGACGGTACGTGGTTTTATATCCCTTTCCTGCCTAGGTCTCAAGGCAGTTCATAAAAGCAACAGCAAAAAACCAACCCGATAAATCCACTGACTAGCATGATCTGAAGCAACACAAGGGGCATTCTGGGGAAGAAGCGACTTCTTCCTACGACGGCCGCAAACTGTGGCTGCCATTTCTCCCAGAAGTCCCTTTAACATAATTATGCACCTAAACACAAATGGCTTGAACTGTGGAATATGAAAAGAGCGAGTCACAACCTTACAGCTTTTTTAAAAGCCCGTAACATTTATTGGCAGTCATTTATTCATTCACTCATTCAATAAATACATTGTTATCCCACTTTACAACTGAAAAAGCACTTGAGGTGGTGACAATAATTTAAACCATTAAAAAGGCAAATACATTAATGCATAAAACTACAATTAATGGTGGTCAGTCAGAAGACCAAGAACCAGTTAAAGATCTATCAAATAAAACACGGAAAAAAAGAGGGAGGTGGGGAGGGAGAAGTCAAGTCGCCCCCTAGTAAATGCTACCAGCGGAAGCTAAACAAGGTTTACACTGTGAGACGTTTTACAAAAAAAAAAATGGTAACGGCCATGTACAAATGGCTTCCTTACTCAAATCTGTGATGCCGCCTCCACACATTGGTTAATTATACCGTAAGTATTCAATTAATCCGTTTGGGGGGAATCCCAGAAACTGAATCAAGCCCTATCTCCGGGGTCTGCATTCACACGGGCAAGAACGCGGTTAGCTAATTTGTGGGTTGCCTGAACACAAAGAGGAACTTTCAGGAACCCCACCCCGCTCCGTCCGCTCAAATACTCTCACAACCGAAGGGCCTTTGGTGCGAGACCTCCCGGCTTCCCTCGGCACTCTGCACAAGCTCAGAGGCACTCACGCCCTGGCCATGCCACTGAGGCAGGGAGTTCCCACCAGGCCGCTGCGAGATCCCCCTCGTCCAGCAGGGGGCTCTGGCATTTGCTTCAGGAGGCTTCTGGCTTTGTTTGAACGGGTCCGCTTGGCAGCGTTGAGTTTCCTGGGTCAGAGGTGGCTCTTGCTGCAAGCAGCCGCCTCCTCCTGCTCTTCCATTGTAGGCGCGGCGGGCGAGCTGCACGCGCGGCGCTGCTCTCGCGCCCTTCCCCGGAGCCCGGCGGCGCGCGGAGCCCGGCGGCGATGTAGGCAG